GCAAATAATGCCGCTGACATACATATCATATCAATTCTAGACCAAGATGCATGTCTGTTTGAATAAAAAGTATATTGTTTATTTGCCAGATTTCTTTCTCTCCATGCATCTTTCAAGTCTATTAACAAGAACTCTATTTTTGTATGGCTGTGTGCCCTGCAAGTGGTGGGGCTGGGGAGATGCATATGTTTCCTATCTGGGGTTGAGGTAGATAATTTCGCACCGTAGCTAAAGGATCTAGAAATAAACATTAGGAAGTACAAGCTGACACATCTGAGAGACTTTGCTTCTGTAGGATGGTCACCAATTGAATTTAGCCCCATGGAGGGTGAGCAGCGGTAGGCACACAAAACAGTGTTGAGATGCAGGTCAGGGGTTCTCCTTCTGGCTGTTTGCTTTCCACTCAATTTTGCTTACATTTAGCGGCTTTGAATCTGGAGGCATATTATAAGATTTCATTTCTGCTGACTAAATCTGCTCTTAATTCTAAGGCAGTTGAGTGAGGTGAAGATAGCAGAACTGTGCTAGTAATAAGTTTAGAGAGGAAAGGGAAAAAAAATTGGAAAGGTTAAAGAGGGAGAAATGTTATGATGTGACCTGGATGTTGAACAAGTAAATTGGCGTCTGGAGACTAAATTCCCTGGAGAAAGTCCTTATAGTCATTAGGAGTCACACCTATGTCAAAGGAGACTTTGTCTTTACCCATACACAAGCTTACTCACAATTGGATAGAGCAGAGATAAATATAGCCTATTACAGTCTAGATATTTTGGAGAGCAATTCCCCCAGTCAGTTGCTGTTGGCCTTGCTGGATGAAACTAGACCTGATTGCCTCCCCTTAAGTATGGGAACCAAGGCGATGTGGTAATGTATTTCACACTAAATTGACTTTCTGAATCTTTGCCAATAAAGCCTTGTATCTGAATTCTCTATCTTGGCAGGAGGACACAAAGGAAGACGTGCTTTTGTCTTGCCCCTCTTTTCTGGCAACTTCCAAAGGGGAGAGAGAAGATTTAATGACCTAGGATGAAAGTTAAGCAAACGAAGAAATACTCTGGTTATAGTAGCCAAAACACCATCTAATTACTCTTTAGAAAACAAAGCCATCTTCTTCTTTTTTTATTTCATGCAACTTTCTTGCACACGTTTAGTTTTGATTCCACATTTAAAAAAAAAATTCAACATACAGGAGAGTGAGTCTTTACCCCTTTTTGGTGCTTAGAATTATTTAACAATCGGTGAAGAAATTCACAAGGGATCCCCCCAATGGGAGAAAAACGCTTGAGATACCCCAGTCTTGGGGAAAACCTTCTGGGCAAGTCTGATCTCTCTGAACCTCAGCAAGTCTGCGCAACAGATAAGCTATATAAATGCCTGGAATGTGGGAAATGTTTCACTCACAGTAAGAACTTCAGCACTCACCAAAGAATCCACACTGGCGAAAAGCCTTACAAATGCCCTGAGTGTGGTAAAAGGTATGGTGCCAGCTCAACCCTGAGTAGACATCGGAAAATTCACATGGAAGAAAAGCCTTATAAATGCCCAGACTGTGATAAGAGTTTCAGTTACAAAGCAGATCTCATCAAGCACCACCGTGTTCATACAGGGGAGAAACCTTATGTGTGTGGCGAGTGTGGGAAAAGTTTCAGTCAAAGCTCCAATTTTGTTACGCATCAGAGAAGCCACACGGGAGAGAAACCTTATGAATGTCCTGACTGTGGGAAAAGTTTTACCGTGAGCTCGAGTCTTATTGAGCATCAGCGTGTCCACACAGCTGAAAAGCCCTTCTTGTGCCTGGAATGTGGGAAAAGTTTTAATCGCAGCTCCCATCTCAACGTGCACCAGAGGATTCACACAGGGGAAAGGCCTTTTCAGTGTCCGGATTGTGGGAAAGGCTTCACCATTCTCTCCACTCTTAGTAAACACCAGAGAATCCACACAGGAGAGAAACCTTATAAATGTCCCAAATGTGAGCGGAGTTTTCGGGTGAGCTCGATTCTGACCCAACATATTAGGACCCACACGGGAGAGAAGCCATACGTTTGCTCTGAGTGTGGGAGGAGTTTCAGTCAAAAATCGCCTCTCATTGCTCACCAGAAGCTTCACAGTCGTCAGAAAACCCGGTAGCTGAGGGCTGCACAGCTCCAGGTGAGTCAAGGACTGGATCAGACTTTGGGTGGCCACGCTACAAAAGTGGAAGGGCTGGGAGAGTTGGCCATTTTTATGGGATGAAATTGGCATCTTAACCCACTGTAGGTCTTCAGATTTCTACTTTGCCCCTTCATCTCCTGAGCCCCCAAAGCATTCAGAACAGGGGAGGGTAGAAGGATTGACCCCATTCTCTCTGGTGGAGCTCTGGGGAATCACAGAAGTGCTGGTGTGATCTGCACGTAGCCCATGGCTATACCTTTTGTCCACAACCCAGTAGCGTGCTGGCCAGAGTAATCCTTAAGAGTAAGAAGGATCAAAGGCAGCAGAACTGCTCATCCGAATCCTGCTGGGCGCTAACTGGCATGGGGGAAAGGAGAGAAAGGAAGTTGTGGTTCTTGTTCCTCCCTAACTTTGAGTTCTTTCCCTTTGATGATGACCTCCTGCTGGACCAACAGGAGACAAGTGATTGATGCTGACTCCAGCTAATCCCTCCTGTGCATCTGAGGAATGGGAAGGCTATGGGGTCCCCTTTTGTCTCCAGACATGTCAGAGCTGCAGGGGCCCCAAAGGTTTCTGCAGCGGGTGGAAAGCACTACCTGAGGTTCGATTTCCTTCTCTGAAGGTCAACACGCTTTTCCACTGTTGGAGGTTGTCAGAATTATCATTGGGCCCCTGGAATCTTCTCCCATTGAACTCCAGGACTGTAAGCTAAGAAATGGTTGAGTAGTAATTAGTAATAGTTTGGGAAATGGAAAATTGTAATCTATTCTTTTTGTCCTATATAGAAGTGTTGCTTGTCTAAAAATGGCATCCTTTTTTATTTCCAAATAAGAAGCCCATTTACAATCCAGCTGCTGTTGTCTTGACTGAGCCTTTGGGATGTTAGAAATCCAAATCTATTATGCCATAACAGCTCCATGATGACTAGGATAGGAAGTAGGACTTGGAACAATACATTGTACGTAGATTCTGATACTAATAAACATTTTTTAAAAAAGACTGTCTACCTCTGGTTGGAAATAAATCAGTGCCTTTACTGGATGATTTATCCAGCAAGATCTTCTATCCCTTTCTCCTTCTCCGTGTCTCCTTTCTTTTTGTCTCCTCCTTTCCTAATTCTCTTCCATTGGCCAACAAGAAGTCCTTGCCATACTTTATATCTCCATATAATCTGTGGGAGGAGAAAGTGTTGGATCCTACTCTAGGACTTTCCAGCTTGGTGCCTTTAGATGTTTTAGCATACAACTCCCATCACCCAAGGTTGGGGGGGTGGAGAATGGGAGTCATAATACAGTTCATTTGGAAGAGATTAGGCCAGGGAAAATTTAAATGGGTTCATAGCCCATTTCTAAGTCAAAGGGAAGCAGGTCTTTCCAATGAAGTATGTGTGAGTATATATGTACATATCTATGTACAGGTCCTTTACAAAGTCTTTGGAAATGCATTCACAGAGATGGAACATATTTTAAACAGATTTATTTATAACTGATGAGAGTATCACAGTTTTCAACAACGGTGAATCAAAATATTGTCCCAAGTATATAAATTCCTGCAAAATTTCTCAGATTCTAAAGTGGCAATCATGTTAGTCATAAAGAGAGGAACGGACGGGCACGCAATTACCCTTAAAGAGCAACAGATCTAAACTAGCGTAAGCTTCTGTGGAATACAATTCACTTTGCAGGAAAATTATGGAAAGGTATGCAGTAGAATCAAAATACTTCAGATTGCGTTCACCTTCAGCCTTTAATCTGTTGCTATGCGGGTTTACTTCCAGCTTGTCAATATGGTGGGTCTCTTTCGGCTATGCCCTGATATTCTCTGGAATGAAAGAAAGTAGTTAAACGTGTTCACACAGTTAAGCATTCATCTTACTCTGAGCTGACGACTCCTGCCAAAAAGATGTGAATCATTTCAGCCACATACTGCCATCAACTTTGCCCTTGGCGCACTAGCTGGGACTTGTCCCATATCTACCATCAGTTTGCATAACTCCAAAGCTGCTGTCTTTAGGAAATATTGTATTTAGAGCAGGCATGTTATCCCACGTGAACTAAGCATGCATGGGAACTTCTGCCTGTTACAGAAGGAAAAAAGCACTGGGATAACCACCTTTTATTAGTGGGAGTGTTAATTGAAATGCCCCAGGGTTCCTGGAAATGTGGTCTGAAGTACTGATTGTCCTGAGGTGAAAGTGGGGAGAGTCATCATCTTAAAAACATAAAGGGTGTCAAATCTGGATCAGATCCAGGTTGCAAAAACCTGGTTTACAGACATTGGAGGACTGGCATGCCTATATATTATGAGTTGGGCTGCAGGAAGAAACATGAGGGTGGCCGACCAACCCTGTATTAGATGAGGGGCTGTCATAATTAAGATAACTTCTCCAGGTGCCTAACTTCAAGTAGGATAGGAGCAACTTCTGTTTGCTATATCAGATAAAGCCACTTCATCAGGTTGGAAATTATTTTGTTAAAAGTGTGGCAACCCTGCCCTGCAGTGACGCTGTGGTGTGGGCACATCTTCCTCCTTGCCTGCCAGCAAAAGAAAACTAGCCTAAGAGCAGAGTAATATTATAGGGAGGGTTGTGGGTTGGTTGGTTGGTTGTTTTGGCGACGTTCTGCTTGGATGTTTAAAAAAAAATTCCTGGAAATTAAGTTACATCAACTGACCTTACTAACAATAGTGCAGAAATCCTTGATAGCCCCGTTTATGCAATCTAACCATGCCATGGTGAACTTAATCATGTGCCTCCAAGAACTGGCTAATTTGAAGCAGAGGTTGATGCTTACATCCTGCCTTTCCTTTTGGACATTCTTGAAAGCAGCTCCCTGGTTTTCTATACCACTTTTAGAACATCCTTTGACCAATGCCTGGTTCCATGACATTCAGGCCAAGATTCCCTCCACTCTCCAAACTATCACTTGAATTGGAATTAGGGTCAGAAAATTTAAGTCTAGAATTCTCCCCAACTTGATATCCTCCAGATGTGGTGGACAATAACCCCGTCATCCACAGCTAAACATCCACAAATCCCAAATCCTTGAAAGAATAAGCAGGAACTTACCGACGTTTCTTCCATCGGAAAATTAACACAACCATGATAATTAGTGCCACACAAACAAGGATCCCTATTACTGCAGGTACAGCTTTGTTTGAGCTTTTTTCGCCTTTGGAAAACACAGATGCAAAAGTAAAAGCAACATAATCAGACAGAAACTACCCTCCAATTCTGTTTTTTCAGCAGCTCCTTGGGAGATTTACTGAGATACCGGGGGTGGTTCGGCACTCATGTGCTTACTGGTGTTTGGATAGTTATTTTTTTAAATTGTAGTTCCTGCAGTCACAAACAATATCTGATTGTTCCTAAATTAATTACAACTTAAATGCAATGTAATTGTCTTAGAAGAGCCAGTTTGGTGTAGCGGTTAAGGCATCAGGCTAGAAACTGGGAGACTATCAGTCGTAGTCCCACCGTAGGCATGAAAGCTGGCTGGGTGGCTTTGGGCCAGCCCCTCTCTCTCAGCCCTGGAAGAAGAGAGCAAGGGCAAACCACTTCCAAAGTCTTGCCAAGAAAACTGCAGGGACTTGTCCAGGCAATTGCCAGGAGTCAGACTGACTCAAAGGCATAATAAGCACACAAAATTGTTTCAGAGTTTGAATGAAGGAGAAGTGGGGAAATTTATGGAGATGTGATTGGATAAGAGTGAGGTCAAATGATGCAAAGGAACACACTCTACAGTGCAACAGAAGAGCTGGAAGGCTGAATATCAAGACTCAGAAGAAACACCAGCTGGCCAAGGTACTAACAGCGACCCTGAGATGGCTGGAACAGCTTGGTTGTCTGTAAACTAAAGATTCTGTTGAAAGTTGCAAAAGATCCATGGTACATGCAGCTGGATCAACCTCAGGGAAAGCTGAGTTGATCAAGGGCAGGAGAGGCTTTGGGGATCATCAGTGCATCTCCAAAACTCTGAGCTTTGAAGCAATCTACGCTACTAGGGAAGTCCTCTGCTGTATGACATCAATAAGGAACATGAGTAATTTAATAAAATCGACAGGGGCAGCTGATGGGGGGCGGGGGGGGGGAGAGAGCCTAGACATGGCCG